ATGACATCTAATAGTCAAATTTCCACAATCGCCTTATTTCCACCATGCATTTTTTAATCTTTGCTCTTAATTTCATTGCTCATGTAGAAAGTGGTTTGATCTTGAACCAATGAAAAAGATTGGTATAGTTCGATCATGAACCTACAAAATAATCGATAGAGGATTTAATCTTGAGCACATAAAAAGAGTGGTCGATTGATTTGATTATCAATGATTTTTTTTCTTAACACATCATCTAATTTAAAGTTTGAGAGTTTAAATATTTTATCATGATAAAATTATAGGGTTTTTTTTTTTGTTTGGAGGATGAGACTCGTAATATTTCTATAATAAGATAATATTTGTCTACTTTACACTTAAATATATTTCATTCAACTAATATTGTACCTTGAATCAATCAATGTTGTCCTTTACCATTTTGACAAATTCATATTATGATTAGACCACTACGATACAGCTAAGTGTATAGCATATGATATCGACTTATCTTTTGTTAGGACCATATATAGATTTCTCATATAAATGACCTTGTTTTCATTTCAGCTCAAACATCTCACACCAATGCAAATATTGTCATTTATTTATAGGTAATGAATTTCATATATCATTCATAGTTGATGCGAGATTATGTTATTTATGTTGAAATTTTTGAATAAAATATTTTTTGTTTAAAATAAAGAATCACAACTTTTTATGAATTGGTGCGTCTTTTGTAAAGGTTGTCATCTTATCAAAAGACATAACTTTACATGAAAATATATTACTATTTGAATGACCATAAATACTTTTAGTTCGTCGAGTCCTGTGTGTGGACTGTTGCATTTATAGGTTGGTATATTTGTCCTATCTTGAAAGACAATTGTTCATGAAACCTAAAACACCGTAAAGTGAATAAAATTATTTTAAGGAAACAACGCCCGATAAGTTCTTTTAATATCTTAAAAATCACATTCTCGATTGAAATATGCAAAAATTACTACTACAGTACTAACAAATCAATATTTGTTTTATCTTCCAACAAAACTTCGATTTCCTCCAACAGTATCAATTTTTGAGTTTGATTTAACATAACTCAATTGGTTGGGAGGAAAACTTTATTTTATTTATTTATAATGTCCTTTACTTACAAACTTACAATTACAACTCCAAAAAATAAAGCACTGATTTGGAGTGCAAAAATGTATTTTGTTCCTTTTAACCGATTTTTTTTTAATGAGTATAAAATACAAGTACAATATATTTATTTATTAAATATATATATATATATATAATACAACTAGATAATTTATATTAAAAAAATGCCAACCATTATTTACGAATTTGCTGGCAATTTTGTCTGTACTAACTTTTCTTACGCTGAGATTGAGAATCAGATTGCGATCTCTTTTGTATTATATTTATAATTAGGCCATTCCTCTACCCATTTCATCTCTATGCATATTTGAGGTTATTGATATTAAAGAGAAAAAAAATTCAAACCCAATATTTTATTCCTAAAATTTCAAAGATTTAAATACTATTTTGTTCAATGTATTTTTGTTGTGTGATTCATTTTATTTGTTTTAGTTTATATACTTTCAAAATTTATATTTTCATCCTTGTACTAAAAAGTGACCATTTTGATTCATTCAATTTAATTTATATCTTATTGTATTTCCATCTCAGCATGTCACTTATTAAATTTCTTGAAATACGCCTATAAATTTGTATTAGTTGGTTTTCATTGGATATAAAAGTTGTGCTAAAATTTTGTATATGGAAACAAAAAATGCCACTTTTTTAAAAGTACAAAGACCAAAATTAATTTTTTGAAACTATAGAGACAAATATGAATAAAAATTGAAAGTACAGGGATCAAGTATTTAAACCAGTTTCAAAATATCTATTTCTATATGAGCTTTTAGATTTATTAGCTTAAACGAATTTTAAACTTATACCTTTTATGGCTTTTTTAAAAATAATTTTTTATTGTCATTATTTTAACATAAATTATTCAAAAAATTGATAACATGCCTCGAATATGTATATTAACATGTTGATGTGGCTATGTAAACCATATAAATTAGTTGAAGTAAGTATTGACCAACAAGTAATATATCACATGATAATATCAATCAATCGTAATAATTATTGTTGTTTAAAGTTTATAAACTAAAAACACATTTTAAAATTTAGATAAAGGACATAAATTTTTTATAAGTTAATGATTATGATAGAAAAATTGAAAGTAGATATATTTAAATGGAATAAACTTGAAATTAAAAAAAAAACTACGTAGTTTTAAATATGAAATGAACAAATTATAATTAAAAAGTCAATATATATTTACATATTTTAGGAAAAATAACACACAACATACTAGTAGGACAAAAGGAAAAAGTATTTTTGTTGTATTCTAATTTTTGGGTATTGTAATTTCTTAGAAAATTGTAAGTGAATTTAAATCGTGAAAAAAGGTGAAATTGATTGATTGATTGATATTTTTTTTCTCTTTTTTGGGAAATGAAATTGATTGAAAGTTGAATTTAATTAGCATGCTTGACACATGGGATAAATATCCATCCAAATGTCGTTCTCCAATTTGACCTAAGTTTTTGGCCTCAACTTAATAAATTAAATTAAATTAAATATTTATACGTGTATCACACAAAATACATACACATCCCAGTCATTGTCTATATAAATGATTAGCCAAATTTGACAAATTTAACTTCAACTTTACAGATCAAAGTAAACCTAACTCAGCGGCAATTGACATATACCTCCAATCATGAAGTTGTGAGTTCGATCCTCACTCCACATAGTGTATTAAAAAAAAAATTTCAACTTTATAAATAAACAAAATTAATTTATTTCTCATTCTTTTAATTTTGTTGTTTTTTGTTTTTTGTTTACATTTTTATATGCCTTTTTTGTGTGATTATGACTCAAAACAGAGCTTATGATTTTTAAATGATAATTAGGTGGAGGAAGTAACTTATTTTTATTATTATTTTTTAATGGTAAAATACATGTCACGAATAAAACGGTTCATAGTGATTAGAAAGAGAGAGATCCAAACTATTAGTAAGTGTTGTAGCAACATTCCTTGTGATATAATCATAATGGGTTAAGATATTTGCATCTCTCCATATATGAGCGAAAGAAATCCCGTCCACAGAAGTAGCTATTCCAGGACGGCGATTAAGAGGCGAGGCTTCATTTTTTTGGGGGTGGGAAGAGATGATCTAGTGTAAAATTCATAAAATTGGATTTTTTTTTTTTAAAAAAAAAGGAAAATTTTAAAATTAATTATATTCTAAACTTTAAACTTTTTGGAAGTGAAATTGGGCCTGCCTGGCTGCCTCTTCAGTTTGACTGGGCTCAATTGAGGCCCAATCAGGTGGGAGAAAAGGTTGCCCGATCAAGTTGCCAACTTTCCTATCTCTCTCTTTCTCGAAGCAGTTTGACCCCCCTTCCTGCAGGATTGGATTGTCCATGACAAATTTGACATTTGCGACCCCAGGTAAGATCGGGCTGGGGCTTGATTTTGATAATATTAGAAAGTCTTCGAGAATCTTTCTAGGTAGATAGAACGACTCCGGCAGGTGAATCAAGTGCCCCTCGAACCGCACGAAATGGTTGAAAACTAAAGCGCTAACGAGCAAGAAAAGGCCCTTCCTATATTGAAAGATAGGCTAAGGCGCCATAGAACTTGCTATCTTTTTTATTTCTTTTTTCAAAGTCAGCGAGATGTCATACATAGCTTTTGGCCCATAACAACACTCAAAATTAAAAAAGAGCCCGTGCCACTCATCGTTGGCCGTTGAGCGATAAGAACAAGCAAGAGTTGTCCAAAGTTGAGGAGGTTTTCGGTTTCGCCTCCTCCACTTCTGGAATTAATAAAGGAAACCTTTCCAAGCCCGAACAAGATCAGAAGGTTCATCGTGTTACTTGTCCAAGCGTGTTGCTGTCTTGTCGAAAGCACTGCGTAGGTTTCTTAAAGCAAGGATGCTTATGGAGCTAAAAGGAAAAAAAAAAAAGAGAATTGATTTCACAACTCCTTTTGGCGTGTATCACAGGCACTTCAAAGAAGCAGCCTCGACTTGAGAATCAAGAAGATTGATGTGTATGAAAGAGATTGCAGTCAATTTGATATGATCGAGTGACCTTGCTTCTTCGGCCCCCTTAAAAAACTCCCAATGTATAAAGGAACGTTCGGGCCCCCCAGTCGTCACAAGGGTCCCTCACTTGGGTATCAGGATGAGATCTAGGCGAGCCGCTTCATCTTTTTCCCTTGCCCTTAAACTAACGTCGACTTACCTTATTGTCGTTTAAACTAAGACAACGCTGCCTTAAATTGAAAATGACTTTATAATATTTGATTATGGTAACTAAACTCATAATTTTAAGGCAGATGACTACTACAAATTTAAATTTATGGTTAAATTATAAGTTAGGAAATGAATACTTAGAGTTGTAAAATATTATCCATGATAATATGTGTCTTAATCATTTCAACTTTTTAAAGTACAATAAATATGAGACTCGAGATTTGAACATCCCACCACAGGTTGGTTGACCTTTAATTCTTTTCAAGATTTTAGACGTCGATGACTTAATTTCATGAAAATATCGATCAAATTGTGTCGGATAGCATTTCTATAAGAATTAGATAAATTAAAAATCGTAAAAAATATTTAAATTAATAAATAAATATATTTCTATTTCGAAACAAGTTTAAAATGATTAATATTTTTTTTATAGACAAAAATGATTGATATTAATATTATATTATATATATATATATTAGTAACATTTTGTTAATATTTTTCATATTTTTATCGATTTTTTTGAATTATGGTGAAAATATTGATTTATCCATCGTGTCCAACCACGAATATGTGGACATGTCTAACAAATATTTAATACAATTTTATTTTATTTGTTGATTTCTGTTATTCTGGGGGTATTCTTTGGAGCCATAGATATTTTTTTTTTTTTGAAAGGAAAGCGTAGAAACTAAAATGCGAATAATCGAGAGAGAGAGTTTTCTTCCATGTTTGTGGCCAGAAAGAAACGAATTCTATTGATCAGTGAAGACAGAATCGAAATTTATGATAAAGGAAAGCTAGAAAGGAAACCCATTTATGATTTATCGTTCTTCCATTATCGGAATGACAGTTTGAACTTTGAACAACTATTGGATACATTTCGAGGGAAAGTTGAAATCCAGAATAAGGTTTCAACTTTTCCCGCCATTAACAGATGCTCGAGCTCGGGTTTACACAGCTTAGCCCCCTTCTTCGTACAACAACCCAACTCAGATGCCAATCTCTTCTTCCCAAATTCCAACGCCAATCCCACTTCTCCCTTCAACTATTTTCCCGACGATCGTTGATTTCTCAGTTTCTCGCAAATCGCGCATTTGGGAATCGAAAATTCTGCTTGTATTCTTCGACTTCACCGGGATTTTCTTCGCCCGATGACGAATTCGATGGCGAATTGGACCGATTGCTGGTGCTATTGCCTGAAGAAATGAGGCGCAGAATAAGGGAGCATGAGGAGTGTCACCAACTGATCGAAGTGGTCTTGGATTTGGGTCGGAAACCATTGGCTCGGTTTCCTACTGGAGATTTCGTGCTGTCGGATTCTCAGATAACTGTTGATGATCTACGGCATGCTACTTCCAAGGTAAGTTTGGCTCTTCCTTCACGTTATTTTATTTACTTTTTCGATAAGATTGTCCACATACTGTTTGATTGTTTGACTTGGAAGTTATAAGTTCAATACAATTGTAATATCCCATCCTATATTGCTTTTACCTCTTCCATTTTTATATCTAAAGCTGGTGGTTAGTGGCGATCACATGGTTTAGCTTTAAGGGGCATATCTAACTTGGGGGCTAAAAACGCCCGGCTAGAATTCTCTTGCTGTGATTGGGAAATTAGGAGTTCTTTCCATTTATGTATGTAGTGTGTTGAGACTCGAGGAGATGAAGGCCTTGGGATAATGGAATTTGCAAATTTCTAACTGTAAAATCAACGAATGAATTGGTGGACTGCCAGTTGGTATGGTAGGATGGTTGGTTCCCTTGATTGATGCTAGAAAACCGTTGGAGCCAGAGGCTTTACTTTAACATATAAAAGATAATATCAAGAAACCTTTGTCCCTATAACAAAATGAACATATAAGGATTTTGTTGTCTCTAGTTTATGACTTGGTTTGGCTCTTCTATCAATTCGATGTGAAAAATGCATTTTGCATATTGCACTGTGACTAAGAAAGTGACCCAAATTAAACCACTGCCTAGATTTGAAGAAAAGATGGAATCAACAAGGTATATCAGTTGAAAAAAATCATGTATACCAACGTATAAATTGTTCTTAGTAGAATCTGTTGAATATGATTGCAATACATATGGAACCTTTTACTTGCTAAATATATGGTATATGAGTATAAATGTGGACCTGTGGTTATGTATATCCTTCACCATTGTACTATTTGGGCAACACGTGTTGTGCTGTATCAAAATTTCTCTTTTCATTGAGTAAAGAATTGTCTGAGTTGAAACCTAAGAACAGAATTGACATAATAGATTCTTATCTTTGCCTATAAACGCAGTAAAGTGGACCACACTGTATTCTTAGAACATGGGAAAAGGTAACAACTTATCTGAACAAGATGAATAGTATAAAAACTTCTTTAGGGTTCGAATCCCCTACCCCTCTCTCCTGTAAAAGGATAAAAAAGTTCAATTCATGTGGCTGAGTCAATTTAAATAGAAGTTTTAATCACTTAAAAATAAAAACCATGTTAAGATCTTTGAAGAAACACATTGCAGGTTGGTGACTTTGCTATTGACAATAGAGCCGGCATTAGTAGAACATTGCATCGGATCAGTGCCATCAGGAATCGGAAGGGTGCAATTATTGGTCTAACTTGTCGTGTGGGTCGCGCTATATCTGGCAGTGCTATCTTGCTGAGGGATCTGATTCAAGATGGATCCTCTTTGTTACTCATTGGGCCTCCAGGGGTGGGAAAAACCACAATTATTAGGTCAGTAAATTTTATCTTCTTTCACAAAGTCCAAGAGATTGAAAACGGAAATTCTGTAATTTGTGGATCTCTATTTCTAGCTGACAAAAACATAGTTCCTAATACATGTTATTTCAGATAGTTTAAACTAGAGATAATTCATGATTTTGTTATGTGAAGATCCTTTTTTGGAGTTACTCGGGAATAGGTAAATACTTAAGGTTTTCCAATATTTTTGAGTTAAACGTAATTTAGAAGTTATATTACTTCCGGTATCTTAGGAGTTAAATTACCTCTTACACTCTTGTAGGGGCATGAGCAAAATAAACATTGTTAACCTGTGGAATTACTAGTGTAACTTTAACAGTTACTGTAGCCTGAGTGCCTGACTAGCATTTGTTGTCTGTTCTATTATTTTTCTGACACTTCAGTGTTTCATCTAAACTCGGTGCAACTCCATGTCTCCAGTTAAAATAGTGTGGGGATAACGTTCTGTAACATTTTTGTAGGGAAATAGCTAGGATACTTGCTAATGATTACAAGAAGCGTGTGATGATTGTGGACACCTCCAATGAGATTGGTGGTGATGGTGATATACCTCATGCAGGAATTGGCAATGCTCGTCGTATGCAAGTTCCAGACTCTGATATGCAGCACAAGGTACAATATGAAAATATATTACCGCACTTGTTTTTTTGAACTAACAAGACTTCGTTCCTAGATATTTACATCGACCATGACCTGAAATTTGAAACTTTTGGGTAAATATTATTCTTGGATTGGTTCTTTTCTTTGACCAGTGAAAGATCATGGGTCTTAGTATGGTGAAACACGAAGGTTCTTCATTAGCCCCTAATAGCTTGTATTCAAGTGTGACAAAAACTACTTGCATCCGCTCTTTCCTAGATAGGAGATGGTATGTTTTTACATGATCTGGTTGAGATGAACCAAAAGATAACTGAAGCTTGACGCACGGTATATACATTTTCCCTGAATTTATACCCACAATATGGACATACACATACATATACTTTCTGGTAACAGCAAAATTTCATGCATGTAGTTGTTTTATATTTTTCACTTTCCATGCGTTATATTTTTGGGAACAGTTACGAGTTGATTGTATTTTCACCCATCCTGTTCATGTTTATTGATCTCTGACATTTTTCTATTTATCAGGTTTTGATCGAAGCAGTTGAAAACCATATGCCTCAAGTAATTATTATTGATGAAATTAGCACAAAACTTGAAGCCATGGCTGCAAGCACCATAGCACAACGTGGTATTCAGTTAGTTGCAACCGCTCATGGAGTTACAATTGAAAATTTGATCATGAATCCTTTGCTGGAGATGCTTGTTGGAGGAATACAGGTGATTTGTGCTTATCTTACTGCATTCTTCTGATTATTTTAATAATTCAAATTCTGTGAGTAATGGATATCTTTCCTTTTTTGACTACCTCCCTCGCGTATGTATAAGACTGAATCCATTCGATTTCTAAAAAGATTACTAATTCTATGAATAAATGTCTAAAAATGAACTGCTGCATAGTATATCTTTGAAATAGAATTTTGAGTCTTTGACTCTCCAATTTCCTCTTTGAAACTAGGAGTTCCTAAAATTTATTTTGCTCTCTCTGCATGGGGCCTATCTACTTCTCAACCTAATTGTGGGTGGTAAAGGGTTTCCCCCTTCTTTGTTCAGTTGATTTCTCTAGTATGCATCAATGAGGGATTCTACTGCAGAATCTTCAAATTTAGCATGAAAGGGATAATAGTATATTTTTTTGCTCACTTATAAAAGTTCTCACTCAGTTTTATGGCCTAATGAACTTCGATATTTTGTGTGTGTGTTTTCTTTTTTCTTTGCTTCAACAAAACCAAAACTGATACTTATTTTATTGTAAACTACGTAAGTACTTTTTTTAAAAAACTTGTAGTGTTTTCAGTCCAGTCAATTGATTAATAGAATCATTTTATAGAGTGTAACTCTTGGGGATGAGGAGGCAAGCCGGAGACGTGTTCAAAAGACTGTGCTGGAAAGAAAAGGACCTTCAACATTTACTTGTGGGGTAGAGATCATATCAAAGACTGAGTTGAGAGTTCATCGTAGCCTTGATGCAACTGTTGATGCCATTCTTTGTGGTAAACAATTTTTTCTTAAGAAATCCTGTTTGAATTTTCAATTGTTAATTTTGTTTATACTATAAATAATCTGGAAGTTTGAAGCAGCGTGCAGTTACCACTTTCAGCTTATTATCATCACTTCTGTTGTGAAGGTCGCTTTCCTAATGTTGAAGTTCGAAAGATAAATTCTACAGAAGAGAAAGAAACTATACAAAGTGAGACTTTGATTTCCACTTTCTCCCATAAGAAGGATGAAGTTCCAGTTAATGCTTCAGATGTGTATTATGGGAATGGTTGCCAGGACCCCAGTGAGATAACTTCTGAGGTCCTTCCAATTGTGGAAGAATCCTCTGAAGATGAAAAGTTTCCACTTCACCTGTTTGTCTATGGGGTAAGATACAATCTTTCAACTTTGACAATTGAATACAATGACATCTTCTTCATGCCTAGACGTAATGTTAGAAGTTCATCTCAGATTTGATAATCTCTGGTGTAATCTAAAGATGTGGCTAACTTTGATACATATATTATTTTCATTTCTTGAATCTCTCTGATTGAAACTGAAAAAAATCACGTCTGTTCAATGGTTTAAACATCGCTGCATTTTGTTACTGGGTTGTGGAACATGTTACAGCTAGTAATTTCAGCCTATCTGAAAACTCTGTTGTATAAATACACAGAAAATGCCCAAAATGGTAACATTTAAAGGTGCAGTAGTAAGATATTGTACGTTTTGAAGGGTTGGGCAACAGCTATTGGTTTTGGAACTTATTAAATGTGCAGTTATTCTAGGTACTGGAAGCAAGTGTGAACCAAGGATTCAAGCAATTAAGGATGAATGATGTGGCCATCCATTTTACTGACAATATCAGTGAGGCAGATGCACTTCTTGCCTTGCAATCCAAGCTTAAAAAGAATGCTGGGATTCAAGCTGCTGCGAAATCTCACGACATACCTATTTACGTGGTTAAGGTATTATTACATTTCCAGATTTAAAAGCCAAAAGGGTATTGATATTGTCACATTTTCTCGACATTTAAAAGCTACAAATTAATTACCATCCTTCTTCTCATAGTGTATTATTCTGCCTTTTCCCCCTTGTAGACTGGTTCATTAGTTCACATCACAAGGGCCTTAAGGGCACTAATTATTGATCAGGAAGATGAGGAAGAAGATTTTGAATCATTGGGCAGGATAAAATCCTCAGAAAAGATTGATGCTTTGGAGGTATGACTGATCTTTTATTTTCTTTTATATACAATTACACGCACACTTTTGGTCTGCATAATTTGAGATGGGTTTTTATTTGGTCGCTATAGTTTAAAAACTTATTGTAGTTTATTAAATAACTTGTATTAGCCCTTGAAATGAATCGATTAAGTCACTAAAAAAATGAGGTAACAGTTAAATAGTGATGTGACGTTACATGACATTTTTTTATAGATGATTTCAGTTCACTACGTACCATAGAATTTGCAAGTCTTTTATTAGATGACAGTCTATTCTACGAACACCAATTTCACTTCAGTGAATTGCTTACTACCTCACAGGAAGCTAGAATGGCCATTGAGCAGATAGTTATTCCAAAAGAAGAGTCTGTTGAGCTCCTCCCTAGGCCACCTCACATCCTGTCTCTTCAGATGGACCTTATCCGGAAGTATCATCTACAATCGGAGAGAACTGGAACGGAACCGAATTTGCGTCTCCGTATCCTACCGTTGATTGCTAACATGGATGAAAATGTCAAGAATGTTGGAAAAGTTGATCCTTCTACTGAGTTCGACGACTTCATTGGTTCCAATGGCGACACAAATGGATCTCTATACAGCGTGGACAGGTTACCGTTACTTCCCGAATAACTTATTGATGCCTAAAATTAAGATTAGCTTGTACCAAACATGTAAATGCTAGGTTACAATTTCAACAGAACGCTTTGACATGCTCATAACTGTGAGTTGCATGATTGTATTTCTATCTGATGTAACAACTCATTAGTGATTCCATAGATATGGCAGAAAATAAGTTTTGTTTAGCGTCTCTTTTCAACTACATCGAGTATATGTAACCAAGTTTGTGGATATGAAGCAACTGAATGCTTCAAATTGAAAAGGAAGTCTGGGTATTACTCCTTTCCATTGATCTTTTCATCCCCTTTCTTTAATTGATCTAGATATATAGATATTCTTGTTTTAAATTCATATTCTCTAGTCCATGGATACAAAATAAACAAGCCTAGGCACGACTCTTAAAATGAAGGTAGACTCTCCCTCCAACTCGCTATCCACTCGCCTTCACTTTCTTTGCTTAGGAAGATGCCTTAGTTGGATTGGGGGAGGGAAGAGGGTATTTCCATCGCGAAGAATTCAATCCAATGGGCTCATCATGAATTAGGTCGGGGTGGTTGGTGGATGAGTCTTTTACCACTAGGTTCACAATTTTCATGGATACCATCCCTTGTTCCCCTGCAAGCCAGGCCGGGAAGAAGTTTGATTGTTGGGATGAATCGGATCCATCCTACTTTACTTCTAGTTATACAATTTTTATATGAATTTAAGACATAAACTTATGGTCGACAACATATGACTTAACCAGTTAAGCCATCTTCAAGCTTATCGTCATTTTTAGGAATGATTCATACGCCAAAACATAAATGGGGCTAAAACTCACTAAAAAGATTGGTAAAGTCCATTAGTACCTAATAACTCTTGCTGAGTTCCACCAAATAGAAATTTTATTGTAGGAACAAATTATATCATATAGTTTCAAAGTGTACCAAATCAATCCCATAAATTCCATTTCCACTATAGTTGTATGCCCCTTTTCCATTTCCCAATTACAACCAAAACTTTGCAATTATCAAACTCAAACCCACATAATCCAATATGCCAGTGCCAAAGTACTCGTTTTTTAATCTCATTTTAACATAATCCAAATGTTCTTATAGCATTATATCTGATATGGCAATTTTTTTTTTGTTTCTATACTATTAGTTTATAGTAGTAACCATATATCTAATGAATTTTTACTATTGATAACGATAAAAACATCATTTTATATAAACGACATTTAGAACATTTAATATGATAAACTTTTGTTCATTAGAAATGATATTTAAGTATTATCCTAATATTGAGGTGTTGCATTTGTCTAATCTCTAAAATTGCACTAAAAAGCAACTTTTTTTAGTCATTAATTTAAGTTGAGTGAGGATTAAAGGGTTAAGCATTTATCTTCAAATGATAAGCTAAGTGAAGTCAAACCCTCATTTTAATTAAAAATGAAAAAGTTCAAAGTTGTTGGAGTCAAAGTCAACAATGTGTGGGGGCATGCCACAAATGAGGATTAAAAATTACAAATATGATCAAAATTTAGTTATAACATAGTTATTTAAATGATTGGATACAAAATTTATAATGAATTCATAGACTATCATTTTCAGTATATAAATTTAGAATGATAAACAATGTAAATATCATGTGTATGCATCCTAGTTAAACAATAATATTAATCATCCTCTAAATAATATTTATTTAGGTTGTACTAAAAAAATATTTATTTAAAATTTATCTTAATTATTGGAATCTATTAATCTTGATAGAATGAGTTTGATATAGTTTTCTAGAAAGCGTTATTTTAACAACATTTTAAAACAATTTACTATTTTTTTCACAACGCATCAAAGCAAGTGTCAATCAAAATATAATTTAAATAGTTAACTCGCCTGTGAATAGCTCAATTTTTTTTCTTATTTCACTTTTTAAAAAATTTAGTGGAAAAGTAAAAAAAAATGCTTAAATTAATTCATAACATGATCTTTGAACATGGGAATTGGGAGGGCTCCAATGAATATATTATATTCAATACTTTTTTTTTTTTTTAATTTTGTCTTGGTATGATTCAAATGGGTTACATAGAGATCCCATTTCATAATGTTGTTTGTACCATATATATATCTTGATTCTTCCACTACTTTTTTTCATAGCTTTCACCATAAATATATTTAGAAAACCAATCGTTATCTTATATAAATGGGATGTGACCAAATTAAATATATATCATATGTTTTCTTTGTAGAACGGTTCCTTTTGAAAAACATAGAGTTACTACACACTTCAAATTACTATATCCACAGAAGAGCAATGTTTCCTTAAAATTAAAACATAACCTAATGTAATGTCTAAAGCTTAGGATTTGATCTAGGATTCTGTATTTCGATTCAGCATGCACTACATAAATATAGCCTCGGCATTTCCGTGGAACTTGACATGACCTATTGGACTTGAATACTTCTATGCAATACCATATTCGCGACGTCTCAAACTTAGAATTATCTACGTCATCATTTAAAATTTCAAGCCATTTGACACCAATACACACCAATATCCTCGCTATTACTGGAAGGTACTCGACTCCTTCTAGAAAAGTCAGGTCGATCACTGTTTCACATTTGAAACTACAGAGGGCGGTTTGTGAGTGAGGAAGGAACGATATTCTTTATAGCCCTTTCTCCTCGAGCTTTTAATAGTTAGGGGCGGGCGGGTCGATCGGGTCCTCCTATTACACTCGTAGTCTCTGAAGGATGAGAACCCGAAGAACGCTCGACCGAAGGATGAGTCACAAGGTGCCTCCTATTTGTTCAGGGCGGGCGGTGTGAACTCTGATTCGATCAGGGTATTCAATCTCGCCGCTGAGATGCTCAATTGACTCCTTACTTTTGCAAATTTTAGGTGAGGGTGGACAGTTGTCCATAGAATCATAAGGACACCCAAGACTTTCACTCTGTTAGGCATAACTCTCGTTATTAAATAAAGGCTCTGTACAGTGGGTAACCCATATAATAATAGGATAATGAAAGAGATCTTTAAATGAAAAATGTATAGATCTTGGTATCGGTTGAAGCCACTATGAAAAAGCCTCTCGCAGGAAGTTCTTGTTGCCATTAAAGTTGAGGTCGACAACAGGTATAAAAATTATACAACAATAAACAAGCGACATCTCCCATTTGACTGAACGTCCATGCTATTTATCGAATTTGAGCTATTTTAAAGAGTGAAGAGTACTCTATCATTTGACATAAAACCTCTCATTCTCAAGTAAATGGACGATCAAAAGAGAACGTGTATATCCAACTTGTTGAATATAATTTGTAGTAATCATATAGTTTTTAAAACTTTCCTTAATAATACTTGAAATATAGTCTCGAAATTCTTCTTATTTTGATGTGATATCGACTCATCCATGTATAGATAGATATACACTACGAAACAAACTTTTCTTATAAATCCGCTGCCCCTCAAAAAGAAAGTTCAAGACACACACTCTAATTGAACCCTTTTTACTTTTGCATTTCATCCTTCTTATCCCTCCTCCTTGCTAAAGAACTACAATAATGCAAAACCAATACAACATAGAAGTTAGAACATAGATAAAGAGAACCAAAATTTCTGATGAACACAATTCATTCAAAGTAAATTACCAAAAGACAAAAAGGGGTTTCACCTTAAGCCCCACAAAAAGAAACCTTAAAAAATGGGAAAACAGCACCAAAATAGATATTTAAGCCGCCACCCTTGTGATTTCATTGCATCCTTGAGCTTTCAGACGAGGCAATTTGGCACAACATAGAAAGAAACATTGGGGGAGGCATTTGTTTACTCTCTAACGACAAAATAATTTCACTTTTTGTACAATGTCGGCTATAAAATTCATTTGTGGGGTTAAATTTTTTAATAATGAAGAAATTAATTCAGAAACTGATGAACTGGTCATTAAAAAAAAAAAGTTGAAAGAACCATTCAAATTGGCCGAACCCTGAAATCTGCTTTCGTTAATTTTAGGCAATTTCAGTTTAATATTCATCAATGATGGGAAAACTTACTATAATTTGCTTAAAAAGATATACATTATTATTCATATACAGCTTGATCCCATTTAGTTATATTTTTGAAACAATATCATCAAAAGTTTTTTTTTTAATTTTTATATTGTATATAAGATTATAAGAAGGACCCATCTTCTTCACTTGCAGTATTGCGAATTAAACAAAGCAGCAGCAGCTTAAGAAGAGAAGCAGCCATGGCGGCGGTGATTCCAATGAAGCTGTGGTTCTCTTACTTCTTCATTATAACAATAATGTTATTGCTGCCATTTTCGAGCTTCGGAGCTCATTCTCCAGCTGGGCTTATGGAAAGTGCAAGAGAAGCATTAATGGCTAGCCTTCTCAGGCAAGGTGGAAGGACCTACCAGGTGCAGCGGAGCAGCCCCGGAGGCCCTGATCAGCATCATCATTGATCGGGGAAGACTCCGGTGGCAGACCGAGGCTAATGTACTTTGATCAGGAAACTAAACATGACTCGTGTGCTTGAAATTAATATGAATAAATGAGTAAAAAGTATCGTAGTTTATCAAACTTAAATTTTTAGGTTGAGTAGTAATTTAGTATGATATGAAGAGAGGTTTTGTGTTTGAACTACTGTAATGTTATTTTTGTTCTTATCTATTTACTTCTCAAACTTTTTAAGTTTATTAGACTAATTTAATAACATTGCAATTATCCTCCACGAATTTTCATGTTCATGTTTTGAAATCGATTCATGATAATGTTATTATCTAACTTATCAAATAAATATTCGAGACAATCAATTCCAAATTGTCTAGAGCATATTTCAAGGTCACAATTTCAATATCCTTGCTGTGGTTGCGTTCAAGATAATTAACTTCACTTTTTGAATCATTGTCTCATCAATTGCCCACGAAATGGAAGCCCTTGCACGAGTTAGATAATATTCAACTTGATTGGTCTGACATCCCTATTTGGAAAACGTCTCTGTTTTTATTTCAAAATAGTTCACGTCTAACTCAAGCTTGATTATATGCAACCACATACTAACATTAGTTTGTAATTTTTCTTTTTTCTTCCAACTAGAAATTATTTCACCAATAAAATGATCACCTCCTACTTATTCACCAACTTTTGATTTGAAAAGTAGAATCATTAAACAAAATGCAGCATCCTTGGAAATATATTGTTTTCTAATAAGTTAGCATATTCAATAAACTAAGCTAGATTAAATTGTCCTCCTCAAGATAGCTTAGGTGGCTTGAGGTCTAAAAAAATAACTTTAAGGTCTTGAGTTCAA